TGCATGGATATCAGGTCCTTTTGTAATGGGTTCCCTTAAGAAAATCTGGACCTACGCTGGGCAGGTAATGATATGAATAGCTGAAGTACAAGGAGTTCCCAGCCACGTCCTTCCAAACTTTCCCTAGAGAAATACTTGCCACATAGGCAGCCTCCTTCCTGGAGGTGGGGGGACTGAGGAGCAGTCAGCAGAGTGACGAGACGATGATTTGGTTTCTCCAGCAATCAATAAGCATCCTGAGTTTAATAAAGGTGTGGTCCCCATTTCTTTACCATCAAAAACCCATATGAAATCAGATTTTCAAATGATGACTATGAAAAATACAAAAAAAAAAAAGTAGAATTAGTTGAAAATTGGAACATACTACCACTTGAATATAGATGCCAAACTGAAAAGTGGGATTCAAGGAAACTGAAGAAAGACCCTAACATCGAATAATATTGGCTACAGTTTTAGGACAGGGATGGGGTAGCTAGACAGAAAGGCACCCGCCAGTATGTGTGTGGACTGGATAGTAGGGTTGGTTGGGTTGAACTAGGTTTCAATGCCCATTGACATGTATGAGAGCTGAATGGGATGTGGGAGAGACTGAAGAAGCCTGCGGTACGTATTGGCATGCATGGGAAACAGGGTAGGAGGTAGGTCTGGTGGGGGTTATGGCAAGTTGCCCCAACTAGGCTGCAGCTCCCACTGGTTTGCTTGAGGGCCGAGTATGAAGTGGACATGATCGGGCTGGACTACAACACCTATCGGTTCCCGTAGAAGACAAGGCTGGAAACAGAACTGACCCAGCAACTGAAATGACTAGCATGTGCACAAGCTGATTGGGGAGACAGACTGTGCCAGACCTTGTACTGGCAAGCACACACAAGAATCAGGTCTGGGATCACCTCAGATGAAGTTTCTTTGGAGATCCCTCCAACTGAACTGCTGATCTCAGAACCTCAACCATGAAGGGACTATGTCAGCCAGTAGATTCTGAAAAGATTTCATCGCAATTGGAACAGGAGCTGGCAGCAATTCAGAACTGTTGAACTATCAAAACTGCTTGAGCAGGACCCTTGGAGTGTGCCTCGCATCAGGGACCTGGGATTGGAATGAGACCGGGTGGAGCTTTTCCCTTTGTTTCTCTCCTGACCCCAGATATGGGGGGGGGGGGGGGGAAATGATGATATTTGTGTGAAAACAATGGTATTACCCACTTTCCTGTAGCCCTTGACCATTTTTACCCTAAGTAACTAAAGTAAGATTATTTTAAACATACGTAAATAAATAAAGAAATAAAAGAAATGTAATTCCTCACTCCACCTTTCTAGAGATATGGCTTACCCCTTCTGAAAAATAATTGTCTCTCAATTTATATGCATGCAGTGTGAAGGTATTTTAATGGTACGAAGCAGTGGTGGCAGTCAATAACCATGAGACCTTCAGGTGTTCTTACTCAGAGGCTGGGGTCTTTATTTCTTTTGTTTTGTTTGGTTAAATTTAGTTTGTTTAAACTGTTCCATGAAATTTTACATCTATGAGAAGTTGATAGGGCATAACTAGAGCTTCCAGATAAGACACAGAACATATAAATTTGATTTTAGGGCCATATGCTTACTTATTTATTTTAATTCTAAGACATTTAATTGGAAAATAAAAATCACACCTATTCAACATGTACCAAGTAATGATTTGATATACATGTAAATGCCATAGTAATCACCACAAATCAACCAGCACACCCATCACTCCTCCTAATTTCCATCTTGTGCATGCATACATGTGGTGAGGACTCTTAAAGCCTATCCTCTTACCAAATTTCAAGTAGTTAATGCGTTATTTACTATAGCCGCCATACTGTATCTCTAGAACTTATTCATCATATGACTCAATGTCTGTACCCTTTGGCCTAACTCTTTCCATTTTATCCACTTATCTGGTCTCTGGAAACCACTGCTCTGCTTAACCTTTCTGTATCATTTTTTTATATTCAACACGTAGGTGGGCTTATACAATATTTATCTTTCTGTGGCTGATTTACAACACTCAGCATTATGCCCCATAGTAGTCTCATTCATGTTGTCACATATGGCAGAATTTTCTTCAACACTGAAACATGTTCCAACATATGCATATTCTACAGATTGTTTATGCTTCCATCCATCAACAGACACTTGAGTTGTTTCCACCTCTAGGCTCCTGGGAACAATCCTGTACAAATCTCTTTAGACTTCAAGATTTTGTGGTTTAGATTCACAAGTGGAATTGTTGGTTCCACAGCAGCTAACTCATCTTACACCAGCAGTGCACAAAGGTTCTCATTTCTCCAATCCTCATCAAAATGTGTTATTTTCTGGGGTTTGTCTGTTGTTGTTGTAATAGCTATCCCAGTGGGTATGAAGTAGTATCTCATTGTGGTTTTGATTTCTATTTTCCTAATGATTACTTCTTTCTGTGTGTTTATTGGCTCTTGGTTTATCCCTTAAAGAAGGGTCTATTCCAGTATTTTGCCTTAAATTTGAATTTCAGATAATGTGTAATTTTGTAGCCTAAGAGAGTGTATGTGAATACTATATGGAGATAAATTCTACAGAAGGTATGCAATGTGCACAGATGCATACACACACAGACCTAGATACACATACATAAATTCCACATAATATCACAAATGCATATATGCTAAAATAAACTATTATTTTTCTGAAACTCAGTTTTAACCTGGTGCTGTAAATTTTTATTTGATAAATCTAGGAAGAATAGAACTGCTGATGGATCTAAGATAATCTCTATATATTTCACCATTCTGCTAAGGTGCACCTGAAGCAGTTTTGTGTATTTTTATGTTTGTCTGGTAGTCCTGCTTTATTAAAAATTTGTAATTTCATTTTGAGATCCTCCAGACTAAATCATTTCAGCTTCACACTCTTTGTGTAACATTATTGAATTCCTTTTAATGAAATTATAACTCAAGCAAGATATTTCATTCTCTTATAGTAAATTAGTTTGGGCTGTGAGAGTTTGGGGAGAGCCAGTCTTTCCCTGAGTTTATTCTTCCTCCTTGGAAGATCGAAGAAGAAGGCACAGGCATTTTATATTTGAGTTATTTATTGTTCTCTTTGTGTGAACATTATATTGTTGACTGTCCCTACTGGAAACAACAGCTGTTAACAGGCTCCCGGGTGAATTTCAATATGAACGCTCCTGGCTTTTGGCTAAGCAGAAAACAGGCTCAGCCTCAAAAAGAAAAAAAAAAAGTGAGTTTCGTGCCCGGTCTGGATGCCTAAAGGCTAGAAGCCTATAAAACTATGAGTTAACATTTTCATGAGAAATCACATTTTACATTGGGTCCACAGCACAGTGATATGGACAGTTCTCTATTATGACAAGAGTAAACGAGGAATGATGTGTTACAAACACCTTCCTAAAAACTCTTGCCCTTGGGTATCAACAGCCTTAGAAGGGATGGAAAGCATATCCAAGTGGCAAAATGACTGATTCCTCAATGGCCATTGCCCGGGGCACTTCAAGCAATAGTAATATAAAAAATGGCTCTATTGCAAGCCTGTACCATGCTGGATAAGCAACGGTGTTTTAACAGAAGTGGTTAACATTCACTATGGAGTTTAATGAACAGCATGGACTAGAGGGGAATAGCATGCAGGGAGGGGGCTGGGAACTTAGGGGTCCCCCTCCCTGCCCTGTCCTCCACAGGTAAACACATAGTCCAAACTTTCATGGTTTAACTTGGTTGGAAGAAATCTCTAAAATAAGGAACTTTTCTTTTGGGGGTCTTCTCACTTAGTCGGTTTTATTTTTCCAAGTAATGCCTGAAAACTACACTCCTGAAATTTTCCATCTAAGAGAAGCCTCTGAGCAATGTGGTGGAGACCATGGCATGAGGTCTTAGGGTGGGGTGGACAGATGACTTATTGGTCAGGTGAGGTACGCTCTAATTTGGTTCATTTTCCCAACTGTTTTCTGCTCTGAGTGTCCAAGACCCAAGATGGCAGACCAACCTAGACTCTTACCCACATTGGGATTGTAGGCAGAGGGATGTGGTCTCTGCGACTACATCCGCGGTCTGTTACACTTACCAATTTGCAGAAAGGACTCTGCCTCCCAGGACCTCTAGCTCTCTTTCTCCCCTTTCTACTCAAACTCTGTCTACGGACCTTGCTACAGTTTTATTGTTGTTTTGTTGTTGTTGTTGTTTTTAAAGGTTTATTTATTTGTATTGGAAAGTCAAATTTACAGAGAGTAGGAGAGCCAGAGAGAAAGATCTTCTGTCTGCTGATTCACTCCCCAAGTAGCCTCAATGGCCAGAGCTGAGCCCATCCAAAGCCAGGAGCCTCCTCCAGGTCTCCCATATGGGTGCAAGGTCCCAAGGCTTTGGGTAATCCTCTGCTGCTTTCCCAGGCCACAAGCAGGGAGCTAGATGGCAAGCAGGGCAGCCGGGATACAAACCAGCACTTGTATGGGATCCCGGCATATGCTAAGTGAGGAATTAGCAACCAGACTACCAAGCCAGGTCCCTTGCTACAGTTTTAATATCAAAACTTTTTCATGTCAAGCTCACAAAGCAAATTCTTGGTGAAGAAGGAAAAAAAAAAAACGATTCTCCCTTTATTTGTGTAATTCTTTCAATTATGAATTTTTTTTACTGATATTAATCCTCCTGTGAAATGACCCTAATGCAGATGGCTCTGCCCCACCCAGCACCCTATAAAGAGATGCATGGTGATTACTTCAAGTATTGAGAGACAGGGGAGGGGAGGAAGAGAGGTGCCAAAAATAAGAAAGGGAAAAAGGAAACCAGAAAGTTTAAAACCGAGAGAGGAATTTGATAAGATGCTGTCAGAAATTCAATAAGAGCCTGAACCAGGATGAAGTGACTGAAACCAAGTTGACCCTTCCACCTCACTTGTCCACGTCTCAATAATAAGAACATAGGAAAGCATTGAGTTTTATTCCGAAACTCGATGTCAAAAGTGCATTTCCTCTTCTTTTCTTTCCAGACAAAGTAAGCATATTGTCAACCTTCCTCGCTCCCTTCAAGTACCTAAGTCCTGGCACCACAAACACGGAGGATGAAGACAATCTAAGTAAGAAGCACCCCCTTCCCTAAAATATGGTAATGCCCCCACTCCACGTGTAGACATGGTGTCCTCCACCGTCCCCCAAAACTGAGACCATTGAGATGTGTGGGAGGGCTACTGACCTTCCCATCCTTGCCCCAGATCACATCCTCCTCTGAAGCCCTGTCCTGTCCATGACTTGCAGTTCATCCTTACCTTCAACCCTATCCTCCCTCACTGAGGTCCTAATCTTATCAGCAGGCTCATCCTCACCTACAGTCACAAGCTGTGTGAAGTCCGAGTTCTCACTTGAAAGTTCTATCCTGACTTAGAATACCACTCTCCCCTTGGGCCCTGTATTCCCAGCCACATATTCAATGCCATCTTCACTTTTACATCCCCATTCACCTATAATTTACTCTCCAGTCATCCTCACCTAGAATCTCAGCTAAATCTATAGTTCAACCCCTCCCTGAAATTCACCCATACCTGCTGTCCTCACACACCCCAAATTACACCCTTGCTAGTTTCCCATTCTTACCCTTCATTTCATTTTCACTTGTAATAATCTCATCCTCACCTGAAACCCATTTGCACCTGAAGTCCCACCGTAACCTGGAATTCCTTTATCTGCTATCTCATCCTTTCCTAGAGTTTCATTTTCTTTGGAATTCTATCTCCTCCTGCCATCCATTCTCAGGTAGAGTCCCTTACCTGTAGTCCCATGTTTAAGTAAAATCCTGCCAGTCTCCATTATCTATCCCCGCCTTTGCCCATCTTTGTCTGGATCCATGGCCTCACCTACAGCCCCATTCTCTCCTGCAATCCAGGCTCCTTTGAAATTTCCTCCTTACCTCAAGGCCCACCCTGAGCTGCACTCTCAGTCTTGCCAGAATCCCATCTCCACCAAAGTTCCACACTCATATACAGTCATTCTCAGTTGGTATCTCATCTTCATTTAGCATCTCATTCTTCCCAGAGCCTAATTATTACTTGGAAGGGAAGAAAATGTCAGTAATAGCTGTGTGACTGAGAACCCCTGAGACTGTAGAAAATAAACCAGTTTTCCTGTGTGCTACTCTATTCCCTTCCCTTGTCTGCGTTCACTAACCATCACAGTGTCTCAGAACGTGGTTTGTCTTAGAACAATTTTTTCACAAGGAAAGAGCTGGGCTGTTGCCTCCCTGGTGAAATGTCTGTGTGCATGAAACTGGAGAGGTACCCAAATGGCATAGCACATCAAGAAGCCACAAAAATGCTTCTTGAGGCCTTTAAGGAGAACCCAGGGCAAACATTAATTCTATTTGCTTTGAGTTTTTGATGTGCCCTCCATATATTCAAAGTTCCTGAGGGAAGTATCAACACACAGACTAATCTGGAAATTTTCATGAAAGAGGAGAAGCAATCATTTGTCCAAGTTTTTCTTCAAATCTCCAACTTTGTTGAGAAAGGAGGTTTGAAAGCACATACAAAGAGCTTCCTGCTGTATTGCCCTAGAAATTCCTTCTCCCAACCTCCTAGCTTTTATCCACTCTTATAGAAAATGAATTCCTGATGAAGGCATAATCAGCAGAGAAGACACCCAGGGAGGGGGCATGGCAGCATGGCAGGGTCTCTTGCTCTGCATGTGGAAGCCGTGCAGTCTTGGGCCAGGAACTTCATCTCCTAGATCGTTCACGCCTGGTAGCTCTGCCTAAATTACAGACATGAGAGAGGCAAGGATGTGAAATATAAGAAATGTTCAGTCAAGGCTGGCTAATACTCATAAATGAAAGCTATTTTTCATGATTTCTCTAAATGAATGAATGAATTATATTCCTCTCTAAATTACAGAGTATAATTTTTTAATTGTTTGTTGTATGTTAAAACACCAAGTGTTTTATGGATTCGATGAATGGATATGTTATCCTCCTTCATACAGATGCTCCTGATTTATATGTAGAAAACCCCATTTCATAGATTGTTAAAGGGGTTCCCTCCAAAGGAACTGACCCTGCCTGATTAATTCCCTCTAGTGTCACAATTGCAGCCTGATCAATTTGCCATCCAAATGTCACTAGAAGGTATATACAACCTGTGTGTGTTACTCCAGGTGTGTAGAGTGACTGGATGCATAGAGTAAGCACGTCTGTGTTTGTCGTGTGTGTGTGCTAGACATGTATGTGGTGTGGCACATGTGTGCTTGTGGTGTATGTGTGATATGTGGGTTGTGTCCCATTTCTAGAGCGCCCCCACCTGATAGTTAGCCATCAAGCCACTGAGCATGGGCTAATGGTCTACCAGTTAATGCCAGGCTACTAAGACTGATCTGCTGCTATTCTGTGTGTGTGTCACTTTCTACAGAACACTGGCCAGGGTGGGGATTTCACCCAGACCCCGCCAGGAATGGCTGAAGTTTAGGCTGTCAGCTTGCAAAGTTCACATGACCTGCCCTTAGGGAGCAGGTAGAAGGAAATCTCCCTGCTTTCTATTGCTGTTTCTCCATGAATCTTGTACAATAAGCATGGCTTCATGGGATTATCTGTGATGCGTCTTTGAAGGAGGCATCTTATGCCAGCTGTCCAGCCCAAAGCATTATCACACCCATATTGTGCAGTGCAACAACCTTTTGCCATCCACCCACCCCAGGCCAAAGGCTCCCTGACAAGCCTTCTGATACAGCTGGCTTTTATCAGACCCACCATGCACCATGTCCTTCTGCCTATTTGGGCAAGAGAGTAAGGCTGCCGCCCTTTCTTCCATCACTGAGCCCAATCTTGCATAGAGGCAAGGTCACTCTTATTTCTTTACAACTGGAGCTGTTTGCAGCTGAATAAGCTTCAGCGAGAACAATATTATCTCTCCCGATGCAGCATGGCATATAGCATTGCTGGTTCTCTGGAGCCCTAGAGACATGGAGACCCGCAGTCAGGGGCAATGATGTTACTAGTGATACAGATAACCCCAGTGTTGCCGGCCCATGAGGGGAAGCATAATGACCAGACAGAGGATGGTGTGTATAATGACCAGGCTGGCCCTAAAGGGAGCCAGTAGAAGTAGAAGAGGCACATAAAGCCATGAACAATCACAGGTATCTGCACACCATCAGACAGATGAGAGCAATGAATCCTTGCCAAAAGACCCCCAAGCCCCAACAGTATAATCTCTCCATTTCTGAATGGTGATAGCCTAGGTCATCAAACTTGGTGAGCCCAGAGGAATACATTTCACTTGGCAAACAAAAATTTAAGTATCACCATGACTGTCAGATTTTGTTCTTTGTCCCAAAATGCAATCCTTTTAGGTGTGAAACCTTTAGACTTAGCACTGAGTTTGCTAAAACTTTTTGTCACATGAGCCAACAGACTTACTAAGCTCAGGAGATGAATCCATGGATGAAAAACACAGTGGAAATAATTTCATTTTACATTTTCTTGCATAGGTGCTTGCTTCCCCAACTTGAACATTTTCCCTTAGTGGCTGGTAGTCTTCAAATTGTTAATGACTGTCCTATTGCTGCTGCTTACTGTATTGATCTAACATAGTTGGAAGTTATTTGCATGCTTTTTTTTCTAATTTCACAGTGGAAAATACACATGCAACTCTGTGCAAAGATCTTACCACTCTGTGCAAAGATCTTACCTTATGAAAGCCAAAGTTCATGGATGTCTCATTTTCACTTGAAGGGACATGGTGATTTTCCAGGGTCTGAGCCAAAGTATATGGCTGGGGTGGCTTAGGGCACCTACACCATCTCTCAGGGATTCGGTTTCTTTAAGAAATGGGGTTGGAATCCAGGCAAAGAATTTTTTAAGTGACCGGCTGAATACAATCCAGCCTCCCACTGAGGCTGATGCTGGTGGGCATTGCCATAATCCTCACCTATGGATTGTCACATTATTGTGCCCTCTAGCCATTCTACTACAGAGCTAATGTGTTCACACACACACACACACACACACACACACACACACACACACACACTGTCTCTCTCTCTCTCCCTCTCTCTCTCATTCTCATTCTCATTCTCTTCTCTGTCTCTCGTATGCCCTCATTGTTTACCTGTTAGAACCCTCTGGACATTGGTAGTGTTGCTTGGTTTCCATATAGAGTGTCTTAAAAGCTGTAGTAAATATTTGCATGTATAAAGAAGAGACGCAAGATAGAACAATAGATGAGGAACAGAGAAAAAGGAGAATGAGAGACAGTGAGGAAGACAGGGTGAAGGTGGGAAGCAGTGGGGATGGCAAAGTTTCACTGAATACTTATGTATTTAGAATGACAGGTGGTTCCAAGTTGGCTTAGTAGAGAGAGAATCATATTTCTTGTAGAACTTCTCTCAGCTCTGAAACATGATAAGTCTGCAAGTTATGATGGGCATAATCAATGATTATTTATGAGAATAGATTGCAGGAACAGAATTAAAGATTTGCTAATTATTGTAAGGAAGTGTTGATCTGATTTGCTCCAAGTATATAACATATCTGTTCTTGGCACTAAATCCCTTTTGTCACATGGGTCACAGAAATCCTGTAATTCTCTGGAAGAATCCTGGGAGTCAGAACCCCACACTTGCCTCTTTGCTCTCTCAAAAGACAGTGACTGACTCTTCAGTGATCATGACCAACCAACAAATTACAATAAAATGCACATTCTGAGTGAATGTGATAGACCATGACAAGCTTGTACACATATGGCCCTTCAACAACCCTTTGGAGTGTGTGTTTGCTAACCACATGACAGATGTGTGCGATTCAGAATCTCTTGTCAGCTTTAGTCTCACCACAAGCACCCAGAAACGGCAGAATTCACACTGGATTCTAGGGACAAACATGCCAGAACACATTTCTGTTCTCTGGGGTTTCCAAAGTGTTTTCCAGAAGAGAATAAGAGAATGGAATCTTGGAGAGTGATGGGAAAAGTCCAAGCTTGCCTGCACCAGCAAAGAGTAAGAGGTACTCATCTAGACTCAATGTGAGCTCATGTCTCAGCCCCACAGGAGCAAGAACAGAGCTGGCCATCTCTTGTACTCAGGCTTGTGTGAAACC